ACTAACTATAATTATTTTCAAGATTCAGTACATTTGATTTGTCATGTACTTAGTATCTTTTATTTGGTCAGTAGTTTAAATTTAAACAGACTTTTTTTTTTTACCCTGATCTGGTGTCACAGCTTGTCATGCATTTAATTATGCATGTAAAATCTGGTTCTACTTCACTAATTGATTTAAGGATTACCAAAGGCCACCCAGGAATGAATTGCATGCAAGGCCATACATCTTTTTGAGTTTTAAGTCCTTTGCAACATTTTTTGTGCATCTTTTATTCAATTAATACGTTTTATATTTTACTGTCCAATCAGAATGTGGAGAAGTGCCACAAAACTGTCTCCATAAATATTTCATTGATTTCCCTCTGTGTGTTATAAAGCCTCTGTTTACATTTATTTCCATATGGTGTGTATAAAGTATCCAGAACGTGTGTGTGTTTCTTTGTGAGTGTGTGTGTGTGTAAAGCAAACCCGTCATCAGTGTGATTGCACAGCTGTAGCAGACAGACAACGAGCTCCATTCATACGAAAATCCAGGCTCCAGTTTCAAATTACCAGAAGATGGACTGTGTATGTTCAAGTTTCAGTGTGTTTGTGTGTCTGAAAGAGAAAGTAATGACGGTGGTGATAAGTGGTGAAAAAAGGATTAAAATTGTTTCAGGAAAAAAAGCAAATAGGTTAAGCAAAAGAGTGAGAAAGTTTTAAAAACTTGAGAGTGTTAAATCTCTTTTTTGTGCGATTAGTTCTGTTGATTGATTGACTTTTCACTTGTGTAGACCTTTTCTTCCTCATTTCCTCCTTTTTTTTCTGGTTTCTAAGTGGAAACTCACCCACACAGGATCAGCCCTGACCTTACACTTTTGACCCAAATTACAGAGAAGTCTGTTTGTCCATCCATCTCTATGGATCATCTCTGCCTCACACACTTTTTCCTTCTCTTTGTCTTCATCCTCTGTTCTCCTTGCACAAGTTTTCAACTTAACTGTTTTAACCTAAATACGTCGATATTTTCCTTTTCCCCCCCCGACATTATCCCCCCCGACATTATCAAACTCTTTCATGTTTTTAGGGTGGGAAGCTTGTTTTAATATTGCACTTTGGGCAATAACCTGTGGCCTTTACTATAAAAGGCAGTAAATTGAGTGAAACAATTTCCCGCACCGCAACGGTTCATCACTCTAACAGACAGGCATACACAGGAAAGCATCCAAACAAACAGAGACGTGTTCACGTAAACACAGTTAGACAGCAGCTGTAAACAGTTGACACTTCACCGAGACACTTGGTCTGACTCAGGACTCTGAGTGACACTGAAGCTGGATTTAAATCCACAGGAGAAAGTGATTGCCACTGCATTTTCTGTTCAGGAAACCTCGGAACCAGGGTAGTTTTTCTCAGGCCATTTTTAAACACCTACTGCATCAACCTACTACTTTGAACTTTGGGGTGGAAAGTGTGGTAATCATTTTTGAATTAACTGAATTTTCCCAGAGTTATACTTTATGGTTTTACAGTTAGAATATCCTAGAATATTTTCATAGGGAAAGAAACAAGGCACTGTTGCCGTTGCATGTGCAAGAGTTTTTTGGGGCTTGTGACACGGGATTAATCTAATAAATATCGGTTATTGTTAAACATNT